GAGAGTGGACTTAGAGCCAAATTCTTCAGGGGCTCTTGTCGTCCCTGGCCTTTTCCTTCTGTTTCAGGGGTGTTAACCACCTGACCTTTACGTTGCTCCCGGACCTTGAGGTGAGGGAAACCGTTTCCGATAGCGGGTCTTGGGGGGTGTTGCTTCTCGAACGAGTCACAGGCCAAATATATGCTGGAGCTCTATTCGCTCTTGAACTTCGCTACGCAACTGTCTTCGACGGGGGGCCAAAATATATCCCTTCCCGGAACAGTGAGTAACTTAGAACAAGTCCTTCTTGGGTGACGGAGTCGTGCCACGTAGATCGCAAATTGAGTAGTATTTAATATAGCCCTATCCTTCTAACTCCTTTACTCTATCCTTGCCTGAAGCTCTGATTCCTTGCGTCGACTGGTCTGATCCTTGTATTAGATGGTCCGGAGTGGCTGAACCCCGAGGGGCCGAGGTCGACCAACGAGGGACCGGGTCGACCAATGAGGGACCCAGGTCTACTGATGGGGGGCCGGTTCGACCAATGAGGGACTCAGGTCTACCAATGAGGGACCCAGGTCTACCAATGAGGGACCGGGTCGACCAATGAGGGACCCAGGTCGACCGATGAGGGACCCGGATCTACCAACGAGGGGCCAGGTCGATCAATGAGGGGCCATGATCAACTCCCTTTGGTACCGGTTAACCGGTATCCTGATACTGATTTTCTTCGGCGGATCCTGCGGATTGTTCTCCACCAACGGTCGTTCCCCTTCGAGGCCCCTGTCTCTCTGGTCCCCTGTCCCTGACCCACGGCCTATGCTCCGAATCCAACTGGAGTCTGGGACCTCCACATCACTAAATTAGCACTTCACCACAGGTACATGACACCACCATCGGTGGTCATTTGGGTCGTGAAAAGACCTATGGGGCAGTATGCCAAAGTTACTGGTGGCCCAAATTATACAAATGGGTGAGCACCTATGTGCGTACGTGTAAAACGTGTCAACGAGTAAACCTTCGCCCCATTCGGCAGCGCCGCTGGCTAGTTTGCCTATTCCCACTGGGTGCTGGGAGTCCATTAGTATGGACTTTGTGTTTGGCCTACCGAAATATTCGCATGGCAATAAAGGTATTGTGCTGCACAATGCGGTCTACAATCCAGCGCACCTGTTCCTCCGCGTCAACAAGCGGAGGGGGGCTCTCTTACGAGCAAAGGCGGTATCCAAAATAGATACCTCGGCACCGGAATCGAAGAGCAGATTCGCGCGAGTATTATTGACTTTCCCAGAGGCCTTGGCCTGCTTGAACCATTTTTTGGAGCATGATGCTTCCAGTATCCTCTTGATTCTCCCGGCAATAATTCCAGCATCATCACCGGCTCCTCCCGTGCTTACCTCTTTTGATCTCAACATCACATAGGCAGGTGTTTTGCTTACGGAAACAACCGTCCAGCTTGGAATTTGAGTAGTACATACCTGCCAACTCCATCCTCTGAAACGTAAATAATTTGACGCCTACTGCTGTGCGGCGTTTCTGGATTAGTATTAGTACATATAAGCTGGCGTCTCCATAACGTATGGATACAGTACATATATGTACTTGCATACTCATATTTTATGATTAAAGGCTTTACAGAGGCGGTGCCACCTCCATTGTAGATGACAAGAAAGTACTACAAGGGCCTTGTTATGACTTACCATATCAACTTGAAGTGGAGGCTCGCACGTAATCGTGCCGACAATTTAATGTCCGAGTCTTAAAACTCATCACTGCCAAGAGCATGTAGCAACGCTATACATTTATCATCTTTGGCATACGCCGATCGAATGAGATCAATGATAGAAGACGACAACGGATCGCGTCATAGTCGATCCAATAGCTTTTTGTTGACGATTTGAGCAAGATGGATCACTTAGCGGCTGTACCAGACTCGATCGATGGTGTGGGTACAGCGGAGCTGTTTATCGACCGAGTGTTTCGCCAACATGGCTTGCCAGTGGCAATTGGTTCTGATCGTGATCCTCGTTTTACGAGTAAATTTTAAAGGTCCGTCTTCCAGGTACTGGGCACCCGTTTGGACATGTACACAGCGGATCATCCGCAGACCGATGGTCAAACCGAGCGCGTAAATCGCGTTGTTGACGATATCCTCCGCAGTGTTTGTGCTGAAACGCCTAAGCGTTGGAGCGCTATGCTTCCTGTAGTTGAGTTTGCACTCAATAACTCCGTGCACGCCTCTACCGGCTACACTCCGTTCTATGTGAATGGTCTCACACACCCACGCGTTCCGTTAACGCTACCGCCGAGTGGTTCAGGGCTTGGTGGGGGAGAGGTTGCCGATCGGCTTGCTGATGTCAGCCCTAATACTGTTAAGAAACAGGTAAACGCGGTTCTCACAACGCGACTAAATGTCTTACGACATGTGCAAGATGGAATGGCTGATAGTCAAGATAAACAAAAGGAATATGCAGATGCGAAAGGCAGAGGTTGTATTAATGATTATGAGGTCGGAGACCAAGTATTACCTAATGCTAAAAAGCTACCTACCAATATAGTATCTGCTGTCTTTAAGACGAAGTTGCGTCTGCACTTTATCGGACCCTTTACGGTCATTGCCAAGAAAGGCACAGCGGTTACGCTTAATTTGCCGCGCAAATTGCGTACACATCCTGTGTTCTACGTCGGCATGGTGAAACCTTATCGGGATCCGTCCCAAATAGACGCTAAGGCGCTCGCGCCGAGTTCATCGATATTGTCGAATCATCTGCACTAACAGGTCAAGCTGACCCTACACTCGGGTTCGGGTCTCTTCCAGTGACTCAAGACGGGAGCACATCGACTGCACATCCGCACGGAGAGAACGCACCTTATGAAGTAGCTCGGCATGAGCTTGTGCCGATACACCGGCCTCCTCCGGCTTTGCTCGATGGGCAGGGGAACCTTCAGTTCCATGTTGAGTGTCTTCTGCAGAAACGTCGCCGCCATGGTCAAAACCAGTATCTGGTAAAGTGGCGGGGTTATCCCGAGTCGTGGAACTCATGGGAGTTTGAGATTCCCCTTCGGCAGGATTGCCCATACGCCGTGGACGTTTTTGAGCGTCGTGCGCAGGGTTAGCCTGTTGGCGGTGACGCTTCTCACCAGTAATGGTGGGTGTAGGCGAGTTAGCGGCCTCGGCCTGTCGTGGACTCGCGGCTACAGGTGTAGCCGAAACATTGGGGTGCTGTGTAGCAGACGCATAATGCGTTCGTTGAGATTTTTTTCTTCGGGCCTTTAATTTAGCGTAATCGTAACGCATCTTCCGCTCGAGTCGAACATCTGCCACATCGGCACTTTTGCCCGTAGGGCTCACATACTGCTTAAACGTCGCGCATAATGCGCCCAGCGGCTAAAAGCCGTGTCTTCTTCTTCCTCGGTTTCCCCCGCCAACAGAAGGATGGGAACACCCTTTATGGGAGGAACTGGCGCACCGCGCACTTGCCTGTTAAGGCGTGCCAAGTATTGGCTTTGCGTAGTAATGTGGGGTTCCAGATATCTTTGTCGAAGGTCCGTTCGCGTAGCAACATCCTCAGGTGAAATGGCCTCAGGCCCAATGGTCCAGCCAGAAAGGGAATGCCCAGATGCCTCCTTTAGGCGTTCTTCCACCGTAGGTGGTTTGAACCTGTACTGTCGGTGGTCCTGCAGTCTCGTCATATTCTTCGTCCGGCGCTTGGAGCCTTCCTCTTGGTCGATGGTCCGCTGTTACTGCTCGTCGAGTGGGTTGGTAACTGTTACCGTTGACGATGCGTCAGGCGGGTCACGTAACGCTGTTAGCGCATCTGCAGCACCACGTTCAGGGAACGGATGCGGTGCATGACTAGTGTCATCTTCACCCGTAATGGTGGTTAAAGGGGACCCATCGGGTCCCACATATACGGTGTCACTTTCGTAATCAACCGCCTCGTCAAGGTTGTCTTCAACGAGGTCCCGAAGAGTCTGTGACTCACTGCCAGGAGGCGTCATGTTATGTGCCGTGAACAAACCGTGAGGTTTAACGTTCGCTAAAGCACTACCTCCAAGAGGAAAGATGTCGGGTGAGATTCTATGGGAACGTCAGTCTGGTGAGGGAGGGTGTAACGGCGTTACACGACGGTTGTAGCGTCTTTCCGAGAATTTACGGTTGAACTCCCCTCTATATAGCATAGAATGCATTTTGATACTTCTCTTTAGAGAGGTATTAAGTATGAGCGTTAAGATACGGCATTCGGTAATACCGTATCATCGATTGGGATTCGATAAATCGATAACGCTGTATTAAGTACATCATACACAGATGTTTAGACGATACGTCGTCCAATAGCAAAGTCTGCATATAACAATTACTATTATAGTAATTAATCTAGTGTAGTGTACTTATAGTAGGACTATTCATAAAAATCTTAAAGCATAAATAAAATCAGTTTTCATTTTGAGTTTAAGATCACAAGTCGTTCTGACTTGTTCTCTTGTGCACTTCGTGCGTTGTTTCTCTGAACCTTTAAGCTTCTAGCTTGTTCTTGCACTCTGTGCGTTGGTTCTTTGAACCTTAAGCTTATTGCTTGACTGACTAAAAGTCTCTTTCCTAGTTCCTTTGAACAGGGTGACATTTTGTCGTTTAATTAGTTCCTTAGAACTAAGTGGCTTTTAGCCTTAAGTCTATTTAGTTCTCTAGAACTAAGAGGCTTCCAGCCGAAAGTCTTTCTCTGGCTAAAGAGCTGTGCAGCCCGCTACAGTCTCAGTCAGAAGGTAGAGCGACACAAGACGAAACTAACAATTCGAGCGGTGCGACTTCGATCAAGGACTAAGAATGAATTTATCAAATTAATCTTGTTTATGTAGTAGACTATGTAAAACAAAGAGTACCGATTTAATAAACTTTTGTTTTGCCTATCAATTTTTACACTTCATTAAGACAATATGACTGTACCACTTCACCCCTATTCATCCCTACTTTCACCCAATCAGCCCTTCTGTATGATACATTGGTTCCAAGCTTTTCCGTCATGACCGACGCGCAGGACGTCCTTCAGTACTGGTTCAATGGCGACCAAACGGAATTGCATCGCTCCAAGTGGTTTCCCATCAAAGATTCAGACCAGCAGCATCAAATAGACATTGAAATCGCGCACCGTTTTGGCTCTTTATTGACGCGCGCCGAGGCCGGAGATCTCGAAAATTGGCGTTTCGACTCTCCCGACACTTGTGTGGCACTTATTCTAGTCCTTGACCAATTTTCTCGCCATTTGTATCGAAATCGTAATGTTGCTGTGAATAGAGAGCAACTTGAGCGAAACGACGCGCACGCTCTGGCAATTGTCGAGCAAAATTTGCTCGCAAAGTGCTGGCACGAGACACTGCCCGTGCCTTATTTCGTATTTGCATTGATGCCATTGCGTCACTCGCCTACATCTGAACGGCTTGATGGTGTATTAGCAGCAATTGAAACTCGACGACAATTGCAACAACAACATGGAGAATTGTTGGAGAAATTTCGACGGACGACGACTAGTAGACTACAACATTTAAGAGGGAGTGTTTTAGTTGACTTGACAAGTGGCACTTTAGATGAAGATATCTTGGAACGAGCATTTATAGAGACGGATGAGAGTGACATGTATAAGAACCGACTGTACCGTACAATGGACGAGTTTTTGCAGCAGATGGAAGCTACTGATCATTTATATATGGCAGTTTCGCTGTCTGGAGGAGTTGACTCAATGGTAGTGGCATATCTGTTGCACAAAATGAGTGAAAAACATGGAGGTTTTACAGTTGTGGCGGTACATCTTGATTATGGAAACCGTCCTGAGAGTAAAGCAGAGTGTGACTATGTACGTCGCTGGTGCGAACGATTTGGAATGATCTTCCATGTGCGACGAATTCATGAAGTAAAGCGCGCGACAACGCGACGGGACGATTACGAAAAATTGGCCCGTAAAATTCGATACACGACGTACGCGGAGGTTATGCAGAAGTATAATATTCCGGGCATGTGCTTTGGTCACCATCGCGGTGACGTTCAAGAGAACGTTATTTCCAACATGATGAAAGGACTGAGTTTGCTCAATCTAAATGGCATGCAGGCGTGTAGTACTGTAAACGGCGTGCGAATCTGGCGTCCGCTTCTAAAGTTCGACAAGGACGTCATATTTGAGTTTGCACACCGATACGGCATACCATACTTCAAGGACACAACACCAAAGTGGAGTACGCGTGGCAAAGTTCGCAACCACCTAGTTCCGCTGCTCCGGGATGTGTACGGTGACGGATTCCTTAACAACCTCTCGGCTCTCGGTGCTGAGTCAACGCAGTGCGCTGAGCTCGTGGATTCGCAGGTTCTGGCACCTATTATGAAATCTGTCGGACAAAGTGATGTGGCAGTGTGGCTAGACTGCGGACTGCTGTCAGACCAGCCCTTTTTCGTGTGGAAAGAGGTATTTCGCCAGGTGTGTCACTCCATCATGGGCAACAGTATGGTGCGCGAAAAGCCGCTTCAGGAGCTCATCCAGAAATTAAAGCGTCTAGAAGCTGGTCCAGTGGGTAAGTCCAAACACAAGAATAAGGACGCTGAGGTGGGGTCGTGGATCACGCTCAAGAAAGTCAATCGGTCGTTCCTGACCAAAGACAAGCAGCTTATCATCTTCCGCGACCGCTTCTTTCCACACAAACCGTACGTCGCTCCTCAATTTCCCATTGTACTAGGCGAATCGTACGTGTTTGGCCCTTGGAAAGTGCAGACGGAGCTCCTGGATGAAGACCATTGTACTGTGCAAAAACTTTCCAAGTGCAAACCGTTGACCGTCTGGGACCTCGTTCGCACCAATGGCATCTCGTATGTGTTTCCAAACGCTCCACAATTGATTGTCGAGTGCGATTCTCGCTTTCACGTGCTACGAGCCGTAGAAAAAGTCATTACGGACGTTATGCCGATTGTGTCTTCCATTGGTGCCTTTGATGTCGTCGAAATGGACGATGTCACCTCGAAATGGGTCCATGTCACTATGACATATTCTCAATAGATGCTCTTTTTTAGACGGTAAAAAGACTTCTTTTTTTCAAAATGGGCTTTATACATTCCACAATTCATAATAGTCTCAAATATTACAATTCTGACCTTGAAATGCTAGAAAATAGTGTCAAATTTCTATGATTTAACATCAAAAGCATTTTCACAATACTATTATTTATAAATGTACCACCTACTTTTTAGCCAATCAAATACCGTACTTCTCGACTGGCCCATAAGTCGCCACCAAGTGTCGTCGATCTCTCTTCGTCTCTCTTCGTCCCTCTCTATCTCTCCACCATGTCCGAGTTGACACCCGAAGCCTCTCGACTCTATCGTGTCCGTAAGACAACCGTTAAAATGCTTCACAATCGTGGCTACATTGTAAGCGAGAACGAGCTCGTCATGACACCCGAAGCTTTCCAAGGACAGGTTTGTCTCTTTTTCGACATTATAACAACATAAAAGTGTTTAAACGAATTAATTTGGTATACTTTATTAATTTTAACAGTTTGGCACGAATCCGACTCGAGAAATGATGACAATTCTCGTGGAAAAAATCGATGATCCAAGTGATAATTTATTTGTGTTTTTTCCCGAAGACACGAAAGTTGGGGTCAAACCCATTCGCAATTATTGCAATCGCATGAAGGATGAAAATGTGACCAAGGCCATTCTTGTGGTTCAAGAAGGAATTACACCCTTTGCACGTCAAGCACTGAATGAAATGGCACCACGATACAAAATTGAGCATTTTAAAGAGACGGAATTACTTGTGGACATTACGGAACACACGCTTGTGCCTGTGCATCGTGTGCTTGGACGTGATGAAAAGGCAGCACTGCTCAAACGGTACCGGATTCGGGACTCTCAGTTGCCACGGATGCAAGTGACGGACCCCATTGCTCGTTACTACGGTATGACTCGAGGACAAGTGGTCAAGATCATTCGTCCATCAGAGACGGCAGGACGTTATGTGACGTACCGTGCTGTCATTTAAGATGGTAGATCTGGGACAAAAACATGTAGGTGTCATTTACGCACTGACAACGTTTTGCTCTTGTTTGCTTGTCATCGATCTTTTTTAGGGGGGGGGGGGCATGTGTTATAAGTGAATGAAAAAATGGGCTGTTGATTTACAGGGTTATTGAGATATCTACGTACCTGGATCGATATTATTTGTCGAATGGAGTGTTGGCTTACAAATGGGTTTTTCGGAGGATTTTGGCGGATATTGCACGCCGATGTGACGTGTTCTTCCTTGTCGCCATCGTCGAACGAGACAAAAGCAGGGAGAAGGTGCTCAATGATGCAGAGGTAGGGCGACGACTGGCTAGCGAACGAACTTTTATGCGGTCACCTTGAGAGGACTCCGGCTCGAAAATGGTCATCAGCATAGATTGACTTGAGGTCATTCTCGTGACTGGTGACTCTTTGTCGAATGCTTGACCTTGTCGTCCGTCGTTCGGAGAGTTCGTTGTGCAAAGCGCTGTCTGACCATGACTCGGCTCCTTCGCGGTACACTGTAGGCTTTTACATCTACTAAGGTCAATGCACTACATACGAGCAAGGTGCTTCAATATCTAAATATTGATTTGCAAAGACAGTAGCAGTTCCATCGGCAACAGCGCGTCAGGCTTTTGCGCTCAAGAAACCACAACATTTGTTTCGCGACAAAGCTACACTAACCTTGAGAGCCGCGTGAGCTGCTTCAACTGCATATAGCATCGAATTCGGGTCTCGCATCATTGTAGTCTTGCTTCGCATCGTCGTCCTCATGCTGCAAACTTGCTATTGGCAAAATCGGCCAAATGCTTCATCACTTGCTTTTCACGTCGTCTCGTGTGTCCTATAACGAGGTCTACCGCCGTCGTCCCTGTCGTGGTCTCTTTTAGCGTGTTTCATATCGTCATCGTCGTCGTCGCGGTGAATTTGACGATACGAGTTCAAACGCTGGCTAGTGACTGTCACGATCCTATGAGCGAGGACGACGCTGATTACCATACACGGCCACATCAAATGTGCTTCTTTTACTTGTATCGAGTTGTGACAGTCCACGTTTTCAAATTCAGTTTGCAGTCTATTGGGCTTGCAAAATCATATTTTTCTGATTGTCTTCCATATTCAGGACCCAACGACAAAGTTCTTCCTTGCAATCGCTTATGCTTATGCGACTTCTCGTGCCGGCTCGCCTGCCTCTTGTCGCGTCTGAGCGTCTGTGAGCTTGTCGCTGTCAATGCTTGTCGTTACGACTTTCTGATCACTATTGATACTCTCTCTTTCGTCAACGTTAAGAGCAGCATCATCATCATCTTTCGGCTTCACTTCTTCCGTGACAGCCATCGACTCCTTGACATCGGTCACTGTAGTGCTAGCTGTAGCTTCTGATGACCCCGTAGTGTCCTGTTTAGCAGTAGCAGGGTTCACGGGGGTCACCGGCGTGATAGACGTCTCAGTCGTAGCAAAGCTGTGGTTGTCTACTTCGTCACTCTTGGCACTTGCGCTTGATCCCTCGCCAACCTCTGGATGAAAATGCCTCATTTCATCCCAGATGAGCTTCTGCAACACTGGCTTCGTCAGCTTTTCGTTTTCAAAGTCAAAGTCGAAGCTTGAAGTGGCCGTGGTCTCATCCTCCACGTTGCGAATCGATGCCAAGTACGGGTGTGCAAGTGCATCGTCTACGCTGATTCGTTTCTTTGGGTCAATCACCAGCATCTTCTGCAGTAGATCCAGCGCGTCCGGTGGTGAATCTGCAAACATGTGTGCAAGAGGCTTGGTTGGGTTAGGTCCGCGCTTCTGGAACTCAGCGTTCATAAACTTGCGTGCACGCGCATTGGTAAGGAAAGTACAGCTCCTGCTCACTTGGCGCACCCAGAGCGTTCATGATCAAATGTAGCTGATCAATGTAGTCCTGTCCTGGAAAAAGTGGTTTGCGCGACATCATCTCAGCAAAAATGCATCCCATTGACCAGACGTCCACTTCAGATTTATACTTCATGCACCCGAGCATAATTTCTGGAGCACGGTACCAGCGCGTGACGACATATTCCGTCAACTCGAGCTCCTCTTCGGGAAAAACACCTCTCGCCAGTCCAAAATCACAAATCTTGAGTTCACAATTAGCATTGACCAGTACATTCGATGGTTTCAAGTCACGATGAATCACATTGGCCGAATGCACGTACTTCATTGCACACAACATTTGATACATAAAGAATGCAATATGTTCATCCGAAAGCGCATGTCTCGAGTAAATGACACGATGCAAGTCCGTTGCCATGAGCTGCGATACAATGTACACATCTTCAAACTTGGCTAATGCCATGGGTTCAAAAATATCTTCCACACCGAGCACACATTTATGATTCAAGTGTCGCATGAGTTTAATCTCACGTACAATTCTCTTGGCATCGGTCAAATCATCAAAAGCTCGTTGAATGTTCTTAACAGCAACAGTTTTTCCAGATTTTGAATCAGCCGCTGAAATAACCACACCATAAGCACCCGACCCAATGGTCTTGACGTATTCAAAACTCGCTGGAATTTCAAATCTCGTATTGGACGTCATAAAACATTGAATCCCCGGTCGATTGGCTGGTAAATACTTGGGTTTATTCGCAGCATTTGCCACGGCTGCTGCTTCATCCGCTCGTTGTTTTTCTCTCAATTTTTTTGCAGCTTCCGCACGACTTCGTTCCTCTTGTTTTAAATCTTCCGATGCTTGTTTTCCATACGTTACAAAACTTCCATCTTTACTTGGTACCATGGCATGATTCCATCGTATGGCTTCTTGAAGAGCATTTTTCCAGCCATCATAGGATTTTTGGTCTTCGGCTTCAAGGACCATTACCTTCGTACCACATCGAAGTTCCAATCGACGTGGGAATTTGGTGAGATTCACCTGTCCTAACAAGTGTCCCGGTCCAATTGGGGTTTCCGAACATAAAGTTAAAGAGTCTTTACTCGTATAATATCCCAGAGTCATATGCCGTTCTTCAAGTCGTAAAATAAAATACCGCCGCGTCCATAATTTCAATCGAAGACCCTGTTTAAGTAAATAACCCTCTTGAATCACATCCGCCGATCGAAACACCACTGCCGAATGCGCACGACTGGGGACGGTTTTCCCATGAAGCCACATGGAAAACAACGACCGATTCTTCGTCACATAGACCCCATCACCCGTCTTTTCTTCCGATGCACGACTACCGTCTTGTGAACTCATTGTTACCAAGTGGAGGAATGTGGTTTTTTTTCCTATGAATTCCACAGTGTCTGGTCGACTGCGGGATGCGTGGCAGGGCCTTTGTGGACACCAAGTCTTTTTTGCAAAACCTCGTGATAACTGATAATTTGAGGGAAGGGATAGCAAAAAGGGGGGTTGTGTTGTGTTGTTGTGCGTTGATATGGACGGATGGAACTTGACTTAGGTGATTTCCTTGTAATAGTTAATAAAGTAAAAAGGTTCTGATATCGCATTAGAGAGGTTGGTAGAAAATGTCATTTTTTATCGAAAAGGTTAGAGATTGTTTTTTTTTTACATGATACGGTGAATCAAACTGATTTATATGAACATTTGTATGGAAAAAAGAGGCAGAGATTTACAGATTTGAATCGCTTCGATTTAGAAACGAAAGAAAATGTCGCATAATGACACTGGCTCTTCTTGGTACTGACTATATTCCGACACATCGACGTAACGAAACATGTTTGTAAAAAAAGCACGTTTATAATTAGAAAAAAAGAAATAGACGAAGACGACACGAAAAAAGATTTTTACATGGTTCAGATTCTTATTTAGAAAATTGTACAACTGTAATTTTGTTATCGGTTCCAGAACGGGTTTGACCCTTTTCAACACGTTTTTAGACGTCTCCTAGATTGATATTGAGTTAAGTTATTAGTCACCAAACATCGGCAAACACTTGTCCAGAACTTATCAACCAGTCTCCTCAATCAACTGGTCTCAATCAACAGCCATAGGCCACCACTTGATGCAACTACTGAATGATCCACAATCGAGCAAAAACTTACGACACCCCTTTGTCCATGATTCTAAACTCAAGCCCCTTGAAAACCACGAGCCATGCCCTTTTCTTCAGCCTGCTGAGAAGCAAAATAGTTGAAAATCTGCTCCAGCGACGTCTGCGAGACGCTATACTCACGAATGTGCATTTCTTCTTTCATGTCTTCAACCATCGCAAACACTTTGGATAAGCGCAATTCATCGTCCGAGCCACGCAGCTTGAAGCGGCAAAAGTCGTTTTGACGTTCCATTACCGTCACGCTGCCCTGGCGGAAGAAATCGCTGAGAAAATTGAAAAGTGCATCGAAACGAATTTCTTCCAAGCACCACGACAGGAATGCCTCCGCTCGAATGTATCCATCGCGTTCCAATATGGCGGCGAGTCCGTATCCCGTCGGGTGTGAGGCTGTGACTCGTTGGGCCAGCTTCTGGTCTCCAAATGCTCGACACTTATTTTCTAATTCCTCGCGGGTGACCGTCTCATGAGCACCTCCGAAATGTCGTTGCACAAGACTATCCAACTCGTCTTGCAAAGGATTCGCAAGCTTCACGTCGAAAACAAGACCATCGCCAAAGCGAGACTTCAAGTGCTGCACACTGCCCAAACAACGGAGACGACCACCAACCATGATGCCCACGCGAGAGCACAGGGCCTCTGACTCTTCCATGCTGTGCGTTGTAAGCACAATGGTAGAGTTCTTGCCGCGAGTCGAAATGTCAGCAATGACATCCCACATAAAGCGACGCGACACAGGATCCATACCGGTCGATGGCTCATCTAGAAATATAATTCGTGGGTCACCGATCATCGCAATGGCTACCGACAATTTACGTTTGTTGCCGCCACTCAAACTGCCAGCGAGCTTCTGCTCAAAGTCTCCCAGGTTCAATTGTTTGATTTTGTCCTCGACAATTTCATTCAGCTGAGACCGACGTACACCCTTGATCGATGCAAACAACTCCAGGTGCTCGCGAACTGTTAGCAAATCATATAAGGCATCAAATTGTGGGCAGTATCCAATCTGACGACGCACTTCAATCTGCTGGGTTAAAATATCGAAACCTCCAAGCGTTGCAGTGCCGTGTGTGGGAAGTTCACAGCCCGTTAGCATTTTCATGGTCGTCGTCTTGCCAGCACCATTAATTCCAAGAAAGCCAAAGCACTCGCCACGTTTCAAACCAAAGGAAAGGTTACGAACCGCAACCTTGCCGCCGCGATATACCTTACGAAGACTTGCGAGTTTCACAGTGTCGTTGTCTGCTTCCCCATTGGTCACACGCTGCGCTTCCCTCTCTACATCGACGTCTTCCTCAAAAACATCGTCTTGAACTTTGTCACTGCCACTCATCCAGTCCTTCACCTTCGGAAACGTCATAGCGTAGTCGATTCCCACAGCCAAGAGTCCGTACAAGATTGCTGTAAAAAACAGAAAGATCATCTCCCAGCCCATAATGTCAGTGCTGAACGGACTCGTCACGGCCTCATTGCTTTCGCGGATCGTAGTTAACTCATTAAGCACCAACTTCAGCAGCCCGTATCCAAGATTAAAGAGTGGCGATAAACGCCAAACGAACACCAGCACCGAATTTGCGTCCTTAGTTGACTCGATCACATCCAGAATGAAAGAGAGCACCATGAGCACCACACCGATGATAAAGTTAATCATAATCGTGTACGTTTGAGACGAAGCGTGCTCCTTGAACAGATATGACAGGCAGTAAGTAAACGGGCAGATCGCCAGTCCGAACAAGATGAAGATGACAATCACGGCTGTAAACGTCTCTGGCGCACAACTGGTGCATGCCGGACCACCGGTCATGGAATCAATGCCGAACAGATATATCATAAGAATCGCTGAAGCGCACGGGATCAAATATAGCGCAAAGTCCCAGACGAAGTTGGATAGCCAGAAGGCTCCTAGCGATACGCCAGACACCAATTGCTGGTGCTTCGAGTCGTGATTTGACTGTTTCTCCTTCACCAGAAACGTCACAATAGACGCCGGGTAATAGGTAAAGGCAATACAGATAAACAGGCATGCCGTAAACGCCAGGAAGGACCCAAATAAAGCTTTCGTGTCCGCAGTCAGCGGTAGCGGATGGTTGTTGACCATCAACTTGACGTTGGAGGCGTCGGAGGTGGATTCGGATGCGAAGAAGCGATAGATTGTCTGATCCATCAGTGCCTTGAAAATAATAGCCCCGTGTGTAGAAGTCGTGTTCACAAACAAGTTGTAGCCCAAGAGATTGTTGCTGCTGTCTCCATGCACCAAGTAGGCGCCATATTGGCCCTCAACACTGGGCGTGTCGACGCCGTAGCCACGTTTGTAAACCTCCTCACCTAGGCGTAAGCCATAACCCGTGGCACCGGTAGTATTGATTGCAGGATTCGTATACTTTACGTCAAACACGGTCGGTGAGGTTGAGTCATACGATGGTTCTGACAACGTAAGCGCTTCAGTCGACACATCGGTAAAGTAGGAGTCAGACATCGTGTCGCTACACCACTGGTCCTCGGTTGTACCTGGCTGACAAAAGTAAGGTGTTGGAGCCTCAGTCCCATAGCCAAACGCATCGGTGGTCAACGGCAGGTTCGGATCATTCTTGGTAAAGCTTGCTCCTTGAAGCAAACCCAAACCAATCAAAAGCAACAGGATGGGTAGAGCCAAACTGTAAAAGATCATCTTCTTGTCACGCTTTGCGTACCGGAACCGCTTCAGAACAAGAGCCCGGAGGTGGATCATAAAAATTGAGCCAGTTGGCTCAGGAATCGCACCTGCCTCATTTTCTGAAGTCGAACTTGGCACAGGTGTTTCAAGGCGAGCACGATTTTCAAGTGTGTGTTGGTTACTATGGTCACCTAACTCGGCCACCTTAATGAACACTTCTTCCAAAGTAGTCACCGAAACACCATATGACAGCAAACCAAGCTTCTGGAGGTTGTCGTCCACATCTGCAAACATTGATGCGAATTTCGATGAGCTCGCGAGTGGTAGCTGGAACGCAATCTCACTGCCAACATTGCTCAGCAGCTGTGCCGTTGGTACTCGGCGCGTCACAAAGCCAATTACATCGCTATCATTGCAGGTCGCGTCGTCCTTTGCCAGGGTCAAGTTGTAACCTGCACCGAACCGGTTCTTCAAAAACAACGACGAACCGCAGCAACGCAGCTCACCTTCTGCCATGATTGCAATACGGTCACCCAAAATATCAGCTTCATCCATGAAATGCGTCGTCAATATCATAATACGGTCGTTGCGGTTGTTCAACAGGATCTCCCAAGTACTTCGACGACTGTATGGGTCCATTCCTGATGTTGGCTCGTCCAAGAACACCAGCGAACTGTCACCAAGTAGAGACACAGCAACGGACAGTTTTCGCTTCATTCCACCAGAAAGCTCAGTTAATTTCACGTGACGTTTTTCAGTCAGTCCGACCTCACGGATCTGCCGGGTAATGACAGACTCCAATTCTGCTTTTGTGTAACCCTTAATACGCCCAAAAAAGAACAAGTGTTCCTCCACAGTCAGCTCTTCGAAGAGCACGTCATGTTGAAAACAAAGACCCAGAGACTCACGGATCTCGTCCATATTCTCTGTAATAGACAAGCCACGGAAAGTAGCATCTCCGCTAGTAGGGGCAATCATACCAGTCAACATAGAGATAAGGGTCGTTTTGCCAGCTCCATTGTGTCCCAGCAGGCACGTAATCTGATTCTTGTACATGGTCAGGTCAAGTCCTTGGACTGCCACCTTTTCACCACCAGGAACGGAGAAGACCTTACGTAACCGCTGAACCGCCAACACTTCACCCTGCCGTTCTTGATCACGAAGCTCCGTGTTCACCGGCTCAAAGTCGAGATTCACATCCACAGAGACATTATCAAGCAAAGCTTCGGAGGGAAGTTCAGCATCCAATGGCTTACTAGATTGTCGACGGTTCCTCCAGTACGAGGGAGACACCGGAAAATACCACTTCAACGTGGTGCCATGCTCCTTTGGAATAACCTTTTCAAAGTAGAGCCCCAGCAGTGTGTACAGGACCGCGTCGACAACAAACATCAGCAACGATGTACTGAAGCGAAAGTTTTTATTCAAAACATTGGCATTCGAAAAGGTAACGCCGATTCCAGTAGCCTCCAAGTTCGACATGACTGTGATACCCAGTGTGAGTGCTACTGGGGAAAGAAGACAGCCCACTGTCTTCTGGCTCTCAGCAGTTTCCGTTTTAAATGCCGTCGACACAAAGTACATGAGAAAGAAAAGCACCATGCCAACGAATGATCCAGCACGTGCTTTACTAAAGATCGTGCTGATCATAAACCCGAACGCCAGCACACTTAAACTAAACAGGAAAAAGAAGAGAAAGACCAACACCACAGAGCTGTTCGAAAAGAGGCCAACGTTACCCGTGAGCGCCTGCAGAATGGAGCCCATAAACAGGATCAAAATGTACGTTATGTACCAAGATACAACAATTGCCGTCTCCTTCACGCCCAATATTTTCATGTATTCGCGCAATCGCAGCTCTTTTTCTTGAATCAGGACGACCAAAATGCGTGAAATCAAGTACAAATACGACAAAATAAACACAACTGCAAACATGTCTGCTACTTGGTCATAGAATGGAGAATCAACGTAAGCCTCGATCGGAAATGGTGCAACCGAAGCTCCAAGATACGGCTGTGGAGCTTGTCGCAATGGTTTTAAAAATGCTTCCAATGTCTTGTTCGAAAATAATGCCGTCAACTCTGAAAACGTGACATCCGATCCAGCAATATTTTCAACAGCCGATTGCATCAGAACATCATTATCCAATGACGACAACAATACGTCATTAATTTCCGTTGATGATTCGGCTGTGGTTTGTGGATTTTGACACTTTCCCGTTGTTTTCATCGTTGTATCATCCCAATCGGGCATACACGTAACAAATCTTGTAACCAATGTCTGTAATGTCATAAACCCTGTAATCGTATACATTGTATAGTAATCAGTATTAATTGACTTTTGAAAAGGTGATACCGGAGACGGATTTCCATTGGTACTGGGTACACCTCCAATAGCATTATTCTGACCAGCTGTTGAATTGAGTCGCACCGTGTACTCAATATCCTGAAAGGATCCAATTTTATCGTCAGTTGGGTACGAATTAAACACAATGCCACCGTAAATATGTGGATTTTCCAGACTCGATGCGTAATCATTGCCACTGATATAGTCTTCCAATGCTTTTTCCGTATCAAAAAATTGAATACTTTCCATCAAAGACGGAATAATGGGTGATGTGGACGTATTTTGAAGAGCTATTCGAGGATACCATAATTCCATTGTCTGCATAAAATAGTCCCTCGTGAAGGCATTATCCGGCGCTATTGCAATTTTGTATGGAATCACTTTTCCAGCACAAGAAATGGGTACCGCATACTTGGAATTGGGATCACTATCCACTAATCCTCGGGTAGTGACACCCATTGTACAATTTAATACATCCAATGACGATAATTCATCCAATCTTGATCCATCCATAATGGATAAAGTACCCAAATATAACAGAATACCCCAAATGGACGTTTCATGCATGGTAAATTTGGGTAAAATACCAGGAATACCAGCTACAAATGTACCCGATGTCTGATATAAATTATAAGAGGTCCCCTGACTACCGTCTCCTCTGACACTCTCGTCATCACTCCAACCTGCCGGTACGTTTACGTCATCCACAAGTGTCTTTAATAAACTCATTACAAGAATAAAGAGACAGGGCAGTGCAATTTCCATAAACGTGGCGACAGGGTGACGTCGCTTCAGCAGCCAATTCTTCCATAGCAACGTATGGATAAAGAGCCACGTAGTGCGACGTTCCGCTAATGGTAGAGAATCTGAAGTTGTTGTCATTTCTTTGTGACCTGTCATGGAAGTCTCAAGAGACGACCGTAACTTGCTCATTAGAACCAGTAGAAAGAAAGGGTCTTAAGCAGTGGAAGGAAGAGGTTTTAAGCTGGTCAAATGGCTTATGAATTGACGACGTCGTACAAGAATTTTATCAGAATAGACAGTTTATTTGTAACATTCGATAGAGTGAGATAGAAAGGGGGGTGGAGAGGTTGCGTCGATTGAACTGTATAGTTATAGAAACACTTGTCTAACATGATACCCATAGGACCATATGTTTACACAGGTTATTAGATAAGAAGGTATTGCAAGCTGTTTTGAATGGGTCGCCGATATCATTTCTAGCAGATAAGAAAAGTTATTAATTAAGGCAGTATCTCTTTGTTTCTATGGGTAGCATGCGAATGCGACATAGACGCGTTTAGGAGTCAGTGTATCCGTCATATGTTTTGTATCAGTCTTAATAAGGAGTTGTCAAATATCGACAGAATAATCGATAGCGAATTGATGTTAATACTTAGAATCATAAAGTCATGATTAAACTCGCATGAAACTAGGAAAAAACGTCCATAAAAACGTCGAATGGAAAAAACAAAACCTATCGGTTCCCTTCAGGAAGTGTTTAAACTGTCAGTAAGCGCAATTTTCGCCACCTCATCTTGAATTGCAGCAGTGAGATTTTTCTCGGATCCATCTCGACCAATTTCTGCAAAGCTTGGGGCGTCATCAGCGACCCATGAAAAACGTGCAAAAAGCTTTTTCGAGTCGTCACTAGCGCCAGCATTATCAATGCGGCTGCGACGACCAACGTCTTGTGTCGTAAACTCTTCTGAAAAGTACGTCGTGTCCGTGTTGCTCATGACATTGGGTATAATGGGTGGCAGTATCTTCTTTTGCTCTAATAAACCCCAGTCAATGCCCTTGAAAAAAGCGTGTTTCTTGATGGCCTGCACACCTTTTACCTGGAACATTGTCGACTTGCCAGAGCCCAGCCGTTTGTCCACATTTCTCTCCAACAGTTGCTTTAGGATGGAGTGGGTATCTGAACCAAGCCATTTAGGAAGAGAGAGCTACGAAAAGGACTGTCAATGTCAGTGTCAAAGCAGGTACAAAGCAGTTAGCAAGTTGCAAATAAAACGTCATTGCGTACCTTCTCGTTCAGAATCTTTTCGTGCAATTTCTTGCGGTTCTTGTGTCTGAACGGCGGGTAACCCGTCACCATCTCGTAAATGAGCGCACCGAGGGCCCACCAATCCACAGCCTGGTTGTAAGCCTTGCGACGGATCATTTCCGGTGGCATGTACTCTAATCCACAAAGATCAGGCTACGTCAGTGACAAAATACCATATCCAGTAGCCTAGACGGGGGGGGGCAGAACCCACCGTTTGTGCCACACATGGTACTCGTCGAGCCGTCCTCCTACAGCACCGTACGGCTTGAATTAACAACATAGTCGCTCTTTCTTCTAATGTATCTCTCAACTCACATCAGCCATTTCCTTGGCAAGACCAAAGTCCGTTAGTCGGATATGTCCATCAGCACCAAGTAGCACATTCTCCGGTTTTAAGTCTCTATTCAGCAGCACCAATCACATGACAATCACATCAAGTTCGCCGCCAATGCAAGAGCAATAGCAAATGTATGTCTCACCGATGAATAATACCCTTTGAATGCAAATGTTCTAGTGCAAGCACCATCTCAGCAGCATACAACTTGGCCGAACTTTCAAGAAGTAAGCCTTGTTTGTGCAAATGATGGAACAGCTCTCCTCCTGCCACAAAAGGCATGACCAAGTATACATTTGACTTGGTCTGAAATGCATATCGTAGACTGATTAAAAAGGGGTGATTGATCTTGATCATAATGTCTCTCTCTGCTTGTAAATATCTCACTGAATTGTGCTGTACAATGTACTTGTTCGATACAATCTAGCCACCAAAAATAATAAAAAGTCAGCAACAGCCACTACTCGATCACAAAGAACCTCTACTTTCTATTATACGTACTTTCATTGCCAAGATCTCATCCGTTGGCTGATGACGCACTTGGATCACTTTCCCAAATGCTCCTTGGCCAATGACACAGAGTAAATCAAAGTCTTGTGGACCCACTGGGTGCTTCAAGCTGTTTTTATCCGTACTTAAGCTGCTAGTACTATCCGAACTTAAGGATATGACAGAAGACGGTGACTCAAATGCTGCAGTATCCTCAATCTCAGTCTCTGCAATAACTTCATGCTTGCGACTGAGGCGTGTGAGGGTAAAACGCCGTGTCTTGTCTCTCTTGGGCGTTGATGAAGCTGCAACAGCTGCGCCTAGCACCTGTGGCGCTTGAGGTGGCGCTCTGGCTGCCGCAAAGTCTTCAGTCTCGGCTCGGGTGAGCGTGGTCAGCATGCTGATTATTTCGTGACTTATTTTGCGCGACGTTTATTTTCTGTTCGAAATGAAATGTCGCTTTCGAATACAAGTTGGTGGTGCAATTGGGGCAAATGACGTCGTACACAAGTAGAAATACTGTTATTTTGTAACGGTTTCAAACCGGTTTTTATACGTGAATACCTCGAAGAGACGCCGACGTATCCATTGAAAGGATACCGACCTCTTTTGTTGTAGTGATGAGACACGAATACCTGGACACTAAAAAATAGTAATCACCGGTCTTTCAAATAGTAATTAAAGTACAATAATATCTCTTTTATATTCCATCTTAAGCTAAAAAATAATAGAAGTGCTGGAGCATTAAGCGGTGAGTCTAAGAAGCAAGTAGCTGCATGCTGAAAGTGCTGATAGTAATGACCTCATGGATCTTCGTAAACTCATAGCAGCCTCGGAACCAGAATCTTGCTGTTGCAGTACAAAAAAGACAGAAAAGTGTGAGCTTTCTCCTTAGTTTAGAATGGTCGTAAGAGGATATGCACTACATTTTTGCCGATGAAGGTGGTTGATAATCTCCGTAGCGTGTCTGATTGAGCTGCCAGCATGATACACATCAAACTTAAAACATCTCTTGCGTCAATGATCTATCTACGCCTTTAGCAATCAACACGCTTGAAGTTTGTGTTGTTGAGCGATAGGAGTAGCTATGCAAAGAGCATTCCAGCAAGTAGTTAACACTAACGATGTGACGTCCTGCTCGACAGCATTTGTACGAAGACTAAAAAAACTTTGGTCGATTGTTTAGTTACATCTATTGGCTCTATTGGTACTAGCGGAGTTTGAGTTAAAACCACTTCCTACGTACAGACCCGAGTCACATCATGTCAAAGGAGAGAGATAGCAACCATGCACAACTCTCAGACTTACTGAGAAGTAGCGACAGAAAGAGTTTCGAGCTCACAAGACTCTTCCCAAAATGTGCTTACTCTTACTGTTGGGATTTTTGGTAAAGGCATGTGCTTAGTGTACAGAACTGTTGGTACGAGCCCGCAAGAACGCACCTCATATGATGTCGTCTGCGCAGCCTATTGCTGCAAGTACATGTTTGGTCGAGACACAAAGTTAACTCTTCATACCAATTGGACTATGTTGTACAAGAGGTAGTTTTTCAAGACTGTTGACGTTGCAACAATACTATGGAGCACTCTTTGGATACTCGACATCAATGCTTATCTTCTTTCATCCTCGACCTTCCTAGCGGCTGAATTGGTAAACTGTTTGTGATTAATGATTCAAGAGCCGACACAAGTTACGAGCTCATCGTCGCGACGGAAATCAGTCGTTATGAAATGGGCAGCATGTTATTGCTGAACCCCGTCACGAGATATGCCGTGCACCTACAATTGTACTTGCAACGGTGTATTATTGCAGGCAGAACGGATTACACATTTACGCTTTACTGTCAAGTTGGATGTTGCCTGCAGTGCACTTGCGTATGCTGCTTACGGCAAAAGCATCCCGTTCTGTATGTAGCTCAACCCGATACGTTTAGATCCGCCGTCTGTAGAAGAGAGCAACTAACAGTAAGTACAACCTTATCGAAAGGAATAGCGGTATGTAAAGCACAACTTCGTTAGTATATTAAAACCCATTGGAGCGGTAGCACCATCGCAGCAATGTTAACGAAGAGCTGAGGGGCAAGGACACACACACACAGCTTCAGAAAACTCATCTCGGTAGACCGTAAGTTTGAGCTGTTGCGGCCTTCCTGTTTATGCCTCAACAACCTCGACATTTTGACGCCCTCGTGAAGCTACGAAGCAGAATCCTTGTCTTATAAAGCTTGCGTGCAGTTTCGTTGACATATATATACACTACAACTTGCAAGAACACACAGCTTCGTTGATCGGTGCACATTTTTTAGTAGAGGTTACAATGCAGCCACTCGGTATACGATGTAGTATACGTGACCGAACAGCTAGGAACGACGACGCAAGTAGACAAGATGTAGGAGCCGACGCAGAATGAACTGGTCATGCTAGAAAAACGAGACAGAGGATTTCAATAGTTCTGGCAACGGAAGACCCGACAGTGCAGGAGAATCCCATTGCAACCGTCCTGAGAGAATGCTTTAAGAAGAGTATAATTTGGCCATGCACCACCATCAGATCCTAGGCAACAGCTAGCTTCAAGATACACATTAGTTACACATTCACGCGACATTGCTATCGTTTGCAAATCTTTTTAGAAAACCTAACAAGTATATAATTCAGTGAGTGGACGTCCAGCGGACGTGATCCACTTACTAAACACTAGTTCAAGCTAGGCACCGAAACTTCCCTGTGATTCGCTTGATCCTCGAGTCAAGCGCTCTCTGACCACAGGTAGACATACAACAATGTAGTACAACAATTCGTACTCTGCATCATCCAAGCTTTTACATTGACAGCTTCTTCGCGCTCTTTGTGCCATGATACTTTCTGTTATCGGAAGCTTTACTTAAGTGCTGCACTGCATTCGACGGCTTATTGAAGCACGCCTAACACCCTGAATTCCATCAGATCGAAAGTTGGCTTCCTGCTATACATGTGCCAGTTACCACCCAGCATCACGCTACTGTTGTTCATATAGAAGGGCTGACTGTGGGAGATCCTACGATCGCTTCCATTAATCGCTGCATCTCGCACTCGTAATGCTATTCCCAATCAAGACATCGTGGTCTTGCCATCGACGCATCAGCAAACCACCTGACATATCGCCACACGATAAAGCCATCACGCGTGAAATGCACCTCATGCCACGTGTGCATTTAACCGGGTTTAAGCTCAACGCATACCGTACAAATAACAACTGGAAGTATATTTTACAGCATCTTGCCACTTCCAATCGGCTTGTTGTCAATTTGTCACGCACTAGATCCATCAAAGTCTACTAAATGGCACAACTAATTCCCATACATAACGTGGCGCTTGTTCCACGATGAGGTTCAAGTGAGCAATCTCTCGGTATCCGCCGACCTGAATCTGTAGACGTAACTGTAAATGACGCAGCTCCTTCAAAAGTAGCTCCTCCCGTTATGCCACGTGGGACTTTGCAATACCTTTTCATCCGTTCCGTCCGTCCTACCGTCACTATCCGCTTTTTTCACCGACACTTGCGTTCTTGACCGCAAAAAGCAGAAAGAGATGAAAAGAGCTTCGTATAGACACGACGCACGAGCACCACGCATTTAACATCGTCCCGTCTTTGCTGCGGGACGTGTTTTCGACGTCTTCTGACCATCAGCCTTGTACTTGTAATTTGTATGGAAATCAATGTCGGATCTTAGCCTTCCATACACAACTGGTGTTTGACTTATGTAAAGTAAGTGGACCATCGAAGCTACCCATCGCAAAGAATATTCTGTGCGTCCACTTACTCAACTCAAGTCAAATTGGTCCCCACCATACATCCACATTCGCCTCACCATTTCAAATGCTGACGACAAGAAGACTTTGACTTTTACCACCAAGAACACACTGATACTCTTGGGACCATCCCCCTCTCAAGCTTCAACATACACATGTCGACCGTCACTTTTTCGGAAAACGCTATTCCTGCTACCAAAGCCCCAGTTTTATCTCCTGTAGCTGAAGACCTATCGGGTATCATGGACAATGCCACTTGTGGTACACTCGAACTAGCGGACGGTACGACATATGCTGGTTATTCCTTTGGTGCTGAGAAGAGCATGTCGGGTGAAGTGGTATTCAATACTGGAATGGTTGGCTACCCCGAAGCACTATCGGATCCGTCCTATTGTGGTCAGATCCTTGTCCTTACGTACCCCCTCATTGGCAATTACGGTGTCCCTGATATGAATGTCAAGGACGAGTTCAATCTGCCCAAATTCTTTGAATCGAGTACGGTTCAAATCTCTGGTCTTATTGTATCAGAGTATTCATTCCAGCACAGTCACTGGAATGCTGTTAAATCACTAGGTGATTGGCTCAAGGAACACAATGTACCTGCTCTCTTTGGAATTGATACACGCATGATCACGAAACGGATTCGTTCACTTGGTGCAATGCTTGGAAAGATTGAGTTTACGGGTCAACCTGCAGAGATTCAAGATCCTAATAAACTTAACCTTGTGGCTCAAGTTACTACTAAAGAAGTGACGGTGTACAATAAGGACGCGTCGCCCAAGATTGTGGCTTTTGACTGTGGTATGAAGCACAACATTATTCGTTACTTGGTCGCTAAGGGCGTCGAGCTCACAGTTGTTCCATACGACTATGACTTACCCAACAGTGAGATCCAATACGACGGAATCTTCATCAGTAATGGCCCAGGTAACCCGACGATGGCTTCAAAGACCATTGAAACAATCCGGTGGGCTATTAACCTTGAAAAGCCCAAGCCTATCTTTGGTATCTGCCTAGGTAACCAGATTCTAGCTCTGGCTGCCGGTGCTACGACGTACAAGATGAAATACGGAAACCGTGGAATGAACCAGCCGTGTATTGACATGCGCACTACACGCTGTTACATCACGCCGCAGAATCACGGATACGCAGTGGACTCAAACTCGCTGCCAGATGGCTGGAAGACGTTCTTTATGAACGCCAACGACAAGTCGAACGAGGGTATCATCCACGAACACAAACCGTTCTTCTCAGTGCAGTTTCACCCGGAAGCATGCGGTGGTCCCACGGACACGGCCTTCCTGTTTGATATGTTTTTGGAGAAGGTGAACAACGCCCCGCCAAAGCTCACAGTCATGGATACGTCTCTGTACGACCGTCCTACATTCTCCAAGGTGCTGCTGCTTGGTTCGGGTGGTCTGTCAATTGGTCAGGCTGGTGAGTTTGACTACTCCGGCTCGCAGGCCATTAAGGCTCTGCGCGAGGAAGGAGTGCACGTTATCCTGGTAAACCCGAACATTGCCACCGTGCAGACGTCCAAGGGTCTGGCTGACAAGGTGTACTTTGTGCCTGTGCGTGCTGAGACGGTGCTGGAGATCATCAAGAAAGAGAAGCCGGATGGCATCTTGGTGAGCATGGGTGGTCAGACAGCTTTGGCTGTCGGTATTGAGCTGTACCTGAACGGTGACCTCGATCGCCACAATGTCCGCGTCATGGGTACGCAGATTGAGTCTATCATTGACACGGAGGATCGCGAGAAGTTCTCTGCGAAGCTGGATGAGATCGGTGAGACTATCGCCCTGAGTCACCCGGCTACGACTGTTGAGGGTGCGCTGAAGGCTGCGAAAGATATTGGCTACCCTGTGCTGGTGCGTTCTGCTTTCGCTCTGGGTGGTCTTGGCTCGGGCTTCGCTTCCAACGACGAGGAGCTGCGCGTTCTGGCTACCAAAGCCCTTCACGGCTCGGCTTCGAAGGGATCGATCAAGCAGATTCTGATTGACCAGGACTTGCGCGGATGGAAGGAGGTTGAGTACGAGGTTGTGCGCGATTCCAAGGATAACTGCATCACGGTCTGCAACATGGAGAACTTCGATCCTCTCGGTATCCACACGGGTGATTCGATCGTTGTTGCCCCCTCACAGACACTGTCGAATAGTGAGTACTTTAAGCTCCGCTCAACAGCGCAAAAGGTGGTTCGTCACCTGAAGATTGTCGGTGAGTGTAACATTCAATACGCTTTGGACCCACACTCGGAGCGTTACTGCATCATCGAAGTGAACGCCCGTCTGTCCCGTTCCAGTGCTCTAGCTTCTAAGGCTACGGGGTACCCGCTGGCCTACGTCGCGACCAAGATTTCGCTCGGTATCGATCTCGTCTCTATCAAGAACAGCGTGACAAAGACCACCACGGCCTGCTTCGAGCCCAGCCTTGACTATTGTGTTGTGAAGATGCCGCGCTGGGATCTGAAGAAGTTTTCGCGCGTGTCGAACGATCTAGGTAGCTACATGCTTTCGGTGGGCGAAGTAATGTCTATCGGCCGTAACTTCGAGGAGTGTATTCAGAAGGCGGTGCGAATGGTGAACCCGAACCTTGACGGCCTGGATGGCAACGTCGTCGACAACGAGACGAACCCCGAGGTGCTTGATGCTCAGTTGAGTCACCCTACGGACGAGCGTCTGTTCTACGTCATCTCAGCTCTAGACGCTGGCTACACGATTGACCGCGTGCATGAGCTAACGAAGATTGACAAGTGGTTTCTGTCGAAGCTGGCTCGCATCTCAACGCTACGCCAGTCAGTGCCCAAGTTTACGCTGGATACGCTGAGTGAGCGCTACATGCGTACGCTGAAGGTGAACGGTTTCTCTGACCGTCAGATCGCTGCCCAGCTGCCGAATGCCACTGCTATGGAGGTGCGCGAGCGCCGTAAGGCTTTGGGTATATTGCCCTGTGTGAAGCAGATTGATACGTTAGCAGCTGAATTCCCAGCCCAGACGAACTACCTTTACATGACATACGGCGGATCTGAGGACGATATCCCGACGAGTGAGGAGGCCATTGTTGTGCTTGGCTGTGGCGCGTACTGCATCGGTTCATCGGTGGAGTTTGATTGGTGCGCTGTGAGCGCTGTGCGCACAGTCCGCGAGCTCGGCAAGCCTGCCATTGTGGTGAACTACAACCCGGAGACGGTGAGTACGGACTACGACGAGAGTGATCGCCTGTACTTCGAGGAGTTGAGCCTAGAGCGTGTGCTGGACATCTGGGATCGCGAGAACCCGGAGGGTGTGATTGTGTCTGTGGGTGGACAAATTCCAAACAATCTTGCCATGCCGCTATCCCAGGCCGGCGTAAACATTTTGGGCACGGACCCGGAGAGTATCGATCAGTGTGAAGACCGAAACAAGTTCTCGGCGCTTCTGGACACGCTGGGTGTTGACCAACCGCGCTGGGCGGAGGTGAAAGAGGTGGATGCCGCCTTGGATTTTGCAAAGGAGGTGCAGTACCCGGTGCTGGTTCGCCCGAGCTACGTACTTTCAGGCGCTGGTATGATTGTGGCCTCGGACGAGAGTCAGTTGAAAGCCTACCTGAACAGTGACGCTGTGAAGATTTCACGCTCGATCAGTGTCTCGAAGTTTATCCTGAACGCCAAGGAGATCGAGTTCGACGGTGTCGCCAAGGACGGTGCCATTCTGAACTACGCCATGTCGGAGCACGTGGAAAACGCTGGTGTGCACTCTGGTGACGCTACGCTGGTGCTGCCCGCCCAGAAACTGTACGTTGGCACGATCAAGCAGGTGAAGCGCATTGCAAGTGCCATTGCTCAATCGCTGAACATCACAGGTCCGTTCAACATCCAGCTGATGGCCCGTGACAATGACGTCAAGGTGATTGAGTGCAACCTTCGTGCCTCGCGTACGTTCCCGTTCATCTCGAAGACTTTTGATTTGAACTTCATTAACCTGGCGACCAAGGCCATGCTCGGCCTGCCGGTGAAGTCAGTGCCGATTGCTCTGATCGACATCGACTACGTCGGTGTGAAGGCGCCGCAATTTTCGTTCACGCGTCTGCACGGCGCCGACCCGAGCCTGGGTGTTGAGATGGCCTCGACTGGCGAGGTGGCCTGCTTTGGCACGGACATGCACGAGGCGTATCTGAAGGCTCTGTTGAGCGCTGGCTTCAAGATGCCGAAGGAGAAGAAGGTGTTGATCTCGATTGGCAACCATGACATTAAGCGTGAGTTTGCAGAGGGGGCTCTCATCCTACAGGAGCTGGGCTACACGATCTATGCTACGCCTGGCACGCATGAGTACCTGTCCACTCATGGCATCAAGAGCATTGAGCTGCGCAAGCCTTCGGACCCAGAGAGCGACCTGCCGAGCGTGATCGATTACATCTCCTCGGGCAAGATCGAGCTTGTGATCAACGTGCCGGAGGGATTGAACAACGAGGAACTGACAAGTGGCTACAAGATCCGTCGTGCCGCGGTGGACTTTGGTGTCTCGCTCATTAACAACATTAAATGCGCGCTACTGTTTGCGCAGGCCGTGCAAAAGGTGCGGAAGCTCGAGATCTGCAACATCTCCGAGTATTACGCTATGCCCACAATCGGCTGGCGCCCGGGTCAGAAGCTCACGGCTCGCAAGATGTCCATCTTCTAAGCTGCGACGTATGTTAGTAGACTCCAGCCACTACTCTTGCTACGTGCATGTAGATATTCAAGAAGCACTCACTGTCCAGCATTAATTTCATGGCCCATACTTGTTTGCATGCTTACTACTTTATTCATGTATCGTTATCACAATCGATCGGGGTCCGAACGAAGGAGGCAAACACGTGCTATGAACTCCACCATGACGATAAGTTCTGTTGTCATTCCTCGTTGGTTCTTTACCAAACATGCAAGGGTACCGCATCGTGATTCCAAGTTCTGCTGCACTCCATTACCCGCTTAAGAGCAGCTTGCTGCCAGCAATGCCACGTGCGCCTTAATCACCTTGGCCGTCTGCTCGACTGCCAACCGAGACTCCGCAGCAGAGATCCAGTCCTGAGAAACCTGAGCAGGGAGACCTGACAAACCCTTCATCTCCGCGATGGCCTTTTCGATGTCACCCGCTTTCACAGCGAATTCGGCACGAGATAAAATAGCATCAGTGTCCGTGCCCTCAATTGGGCCTCCAGGCGGGATCATTAGCAGTGACAACGCGGTGCCAAAAGCCTGACCAATGATTCCGCTCTTTTCCGGCACCAAAGCAGCACGGTGGCCGACAGACTTGACCACCTTAAAGCGTTCCTGAAGCTGGCCCACAGATGGCGCACCCTGCTCAATTACGTCCTGCGGCAGCGACTTGACGGCCGCCTGGATGAACGAGTCGTTTCTCGCCGCCTCACGCAATGCACGGATCTCGCTACGCAGCGGGGCCGCAGCCTCTATGCGGTCCGAGAGTGCCAGCGCTGCCATGGATGCCTTGTGCACGCGGTGGCTGAACGCCTCGTAAGTCGACGAATTGTCAAGAACCGTGCCAAGGGCACGCAGCTCGGCGCGGTAGTTCTCAAGCTGCTGCACTCGCTTCTCACGCTCATCTGCCAACGTCTTCTGCATCTCCTCCTTCGCCTTCTCAAGTTGCTGCGTGTAACGATCCTCGATCACCTTGCTCTCACGGGCAAAAGTACGTTGCACCTCTGACAGCAAGCTTGCACGCTGTTGGTTCACATTGCGCGCCAGATCGTCAGCATACTGCTTTTTAAGCGCAGCCATCTCTTCGCGCGCCTGGCGGGAAAGCAGCTCTTGCTGTAGACGTAACTCACGCGCGAGCAGTTCCTTGTGCAGCTCATCCTGGCGGCGCAGCACTTCGGCGCTCTTCTTTCGGGCGTCCTCCTCCATGTGGCGAAGCGACTCCATTAGACGCACAGCCTCCCATTTTGAGCGGTGCTTCATCTCTGTCGCCAACTGTGTGACGCGAATAGCAAGCGCATTTGCGTCAAGTTCCTGTAATAACGTTCATGTCAGCAATTGCTACCAGTTGCAGGCTAGTATAGATACACACATTGATCCCCGACAGGTACTGCTTGTCCATTTCGATAGCCTCAGCATCCGACTCGGCCTTCAACGAGCTGACTAGGTCGTTCTATACGAATAAAACTCGTCAGTACTCTTAGACATGATCCGTACGCCTTTATATATGACGTACGGTTGTGGCCTGGATCTGCTTATCCATTTGGTGGGTCATGTGTTCCGGGCTGGCCTCACCAGCCAGCTCAGCAATCTTTTCACGAGCCTTGACCGTGGCCTCGTCCACCTTCTTCTCGACAGCAGTCGTGGCAGCGACTGCAGCAGCTGCAACTGCCTTAACCTCCTTCTTGAGTTTCTCCTCAGCCTTGTGCACGTTGTCCATCCTCAATTTTGGCCACAGGCTTTTTTGCCTCGACCTCCTCCTTAAGCTGAGCAGCCTTCTTTTCCGCTTTTTCCGCTTTCTTCGCCACCTTTTCGGCCTTCTTCTCAGCCTTTTTCAGCTTCTTGTCCCTTTCATCAGCCTCCAGGTCACCCTTCTCCTTCTTTTTCTCTTTCTTTTCCTTTTTCTCCTTCTTCTTTTCCTTTTTCTCCACTTCATCAGCCTCCAGGTCACCCTTCTCCTTCTTCTTTTTCTTTTTCTCTTTCTTTTCCTTCTTCTCCTTCTCCTCGTCTTTCTCCTCCTTTTTCTCCTTTTTCTCTATCTTTTTCTCCTTCTTCTCTTTCTCCTCCTTCCTCACCTTCTCCTCCTCTTCTCCTTCTCCTCCCCCTTCTCCTCCTTCGCCTCCTCCTTCTTCTCCTGTCTCTTATCAATAGCAGCATTCAATCCTTCCAGCGAGCGTTTCTTCTCCATCGTCGTCTCTTTGCCCAGCACCAACTCGCGAAATTTAATCCAACGTGTATCATCCTTCAACGTCGTCGGATTCCACTCTGGATTTTGCTTCACATACAAAGCCGTTGCTGCAGGTGTCGACAATAGTCCCAATAATAGCAATTTCGGTAGAAATGAGCCTGTATTCGAGTCCATAGCAGCCGCAGCAGACGTCGACTTGGTAGCGTCTGCTGCACTCGTCACGAGGTCAATTTTACTCGGTGACTTGGCACCAATGGGCTGTACTGTACCAGGTACGTGAGGAGCCTTGGGAGGCACGCTAAACGTACGTCGGGACTGAGCAATGGCGCCTACAGCCACACGAGTCCGCGAGACTTGACGCAACATGTTTCTGGATGATATTACGTCGAACTTAACGATTTATGACGGGGAACAAATGGAATTGAAAATTGAGTCAATTTGGTCCGAGACCCTTTTTTTGTTCCAGGGACCTTTCGAGGAATCAGAGTATCAATGGTGCTAAAGCTGCGACAGGACGTACTCCAGCGTGTAACAGCAGAACGCAATGTCCGTTCAATTCTTTTCCACTTTACAACTATAACGACATTTGTACAAGAGCCAGATGTGAAAATTGTATGTTGAAAAACTATGTACTTGCGATAGGAGATGGTAATGATTTTGACATCATATTTTGGCTGGTATTTAATAGGCAGTTCAAGCGCTCAAGACGTAAAAGCTTCAGTAGTAATAATACTTGTATAAAGATAACAAGACATTCAATAATATGTGGTGATTGATTATAGACATGGATACCGGCTGGGGTTCATTGGAGATACAAGTACGAGTGATCCGAGGGTACTGAGTGCATTTCACTTCATCCACGTTGACAAGCAGGTGTAGTACTTCAAGTACTACTTTTGATAGTATTAGTTTATGCTCTCACAATTCGTGATAGAATACCGGTAGTGCATCGGTATACATGGCTGCTTCGAAGAAGTTAGAGGTTCCGCTGCATAGGACGCTGCTTGTGACGGAATCGACGCTGCTGGAAGACGTGGCCAATGACGTAATCTTAGTAACGTTGCCATTACAATCAACGGACACTAAGTCGCATCCATTTTTGGTGCAATTTGTAAAAGGTGAGACGGATGTCCAAGTAATTTAGGCTGCTTGATTTAGGACAGAAACATTAACTCTGCGTTGGTACTGACGCACTGTGTTTTATCTCTTAGACTTGCTCAACTTTGATCAGTGTCTTGACCCTACTGGACGATGCTTTGGCCCATTCCGTGTGCCGTTTACTCAGATTTTCTACGAGTCCGAGCTGTCATTTGCACTGGTGAATCTCAAGCCAATTGTACCAGGTTTGCACGAGAGCTTTTGTCACAGTATGAATCGTTTATCTAATAGTTTCTGTGCTGTACGTAGGACATGTTTTGGTAGTGCCAAAACGGCCAGTACCTCGCTTTGAAATGCTAGATGTGGACGAAGTAAGCGATTTGTGGAATACTGCCCAGGTACGAACCCTTTTAAAGACAGTAGTAGCACATAGTATGTGGTGATATGCTGTTTTTGTACTGATAGCTGGTCGGCAAGCAAGTGGAGCGTCACTACGGTGCATCTTCTCTTACATTTGCGATACAGGTATACAACTTGCACACTCGTATACTCCACCCCCGAGTCCAAATTTAAATTACAATATCGATGCTTTGTAGGACGGTAAGGAAGCAGGTCAAACAATATTGCACGTGCATATTCACATCATCCCGCGGATTGCTCAAGATTTCAAGTGCAATGACGACATTTACACAGAAGTAAGTTGCTATCTCATCTGAATTCTTCATCTATTTTCACGTCTCTAACAATTATTGCTCTCAGATCGAAAAGCACGAACAGACTCTGTACGTAGACAACGAGACGCGAACAGCACGCTCTGAATCGGATATGGCAGCTGAGGCCGCACTTCTCCGTCCATACTTTTCCTAACTGTCATATACAAAAAGGTACCATCAATATCACACAGGCGTCATTATGATGTTGAAGCTGCCTTGACCAATCAGCCCGCTTGAATCTTTTCTCCTACCGATATATCGGTAAATCTAATCGTATCTACTTTATCCGGTTAACATGTATACACCTTATTTTTTTTGCCCATCTCCAAAGGGAAACGAAGGGAACGGAATATCATCCATCACTTCCGCATTTTCCAGTTAGAACTGGGATGACCATCACTCCCGACGAGACGTGGGGCCTCACTTGCAAGCGCTGCGACAGCCTCATCGCTCGTCACTCGCAGCTGTTGTTTCTTTTAGAAAACGCAACGGCTGTGCATCTCGTTCTAGACAAGACGTTGCTCTATGACGAGCAGCTCGAGGCACAACCTCAAGATGTGAACGGAAACTGGCGAGTCTACAGCCACGAGAGCGTCTCCCCAAAGCTACAGTTTGTCAAGATTCGCTCGAAAGACTTGCGCAAGCGCGAGAGATTGCCATTTGAGTTATGTTGCTTGAAATGTGACGCTAAAGTTGCGTCGGAGGGGTACTTAGATGAGTTGCCAGGGGAATCAATGTTGCTCTTAGACTCCAAAGCATGTGCTTGTGTCTTAGACAGAGAGCAGGTATATGGATTGGCAGGGGGGAACAAGGCAAGAAAATGGGGAGTCATTTTAAGGCAATTGCAAGAGATGGGACTCCCTTTGAAGATTAACAAAGTGCAAGATTTAATTCAAACGGTAAAGATTGATAAAGGACCCGAGACTCCAGTACTGCCAGTCGTGCGTCCGACGGAAGCTTCGATACAAAGTCATTTTACTCCAAAAGCAAAGATGTCATGCTTAAGACGGTACCAAATCGAGTTGACGCTTTCGGCATTGTTGGAAAACACAATTGTGTATCTTCCTACTGGTTGTGGCAAGACTTTAGTGGCAATTAAGGTCATGGAAGAGATGAAACGGTTAAATCCGGCCAAAATGGTCGTCTTCTTTGTGCCCACGGGGCCATTGGTATCACAGCAAGCTGCTTATCTTCGACGCGAGTCAAATTTTACTGTCAAGGTGTTTTCAGGACAACATGGAAATACAGCAGCAGCTATGAATGCTACTATAAAGGTTGATGAAGGTGTGGATGCGGTGGTAGCGACGCCTCAGTACTTTTTGAACTTATTGTTTAATATGCGCACAAAGATCACGGATTACAGTACAATGGTGTTTGACGAAGCACACCATGCTACTGGAAATCACCCGTACTGCGAGCTCTTGAAACTGCTTGCAACTGTTGACCTCCGATTTCGGCCACACATTCTTGCTCTCACGGCCTCACCATTTGGCGAAGCAGTCCGTGAGACGTCTGGGCAGATGGCACTGAGGAAGCTCTCGGTTGCGTTTAATGCTGAAGTTAATTCACCTACCATCGCTGCTGAAGATTTGGAAGCAAGTTTTATTCCAAAGGAGGCGAAATGGGTCACTGTGCAAGAAGATGATTCCGAGCGAAAGCTACGGAAGGGTATTAAGGACTATGTCGTATTGTTCTATAAGCAGATCAGCAGTCTGATGGATGGGAAAGTGATACCTTTCGAGTCAGACTATGACACTAACGACATGGAATTGTCCCAGTTTCTTGCGAAACTGCGTCTTCTACGATTGAAGGCAGAAGAGAGAGCGAGGAAAAAGGACAATGCGACGATGGGAATCGATAGAAGTAATCGTCAACCGTCCGATCTAGAGTTGATTCTCAAGCATGTGCAAAAAGTGGCATCAAGTTTTTATAGCTTAAGTATTCATGGTGCAGGCACTGTTGCTGAAAAACTGCGCGGAATTTTTGATGATTTACAAGCAGCAGAAACGAAGAAGGGAAAACGCACTTTTGTGCTTATTGAGCCGGCGTACCGCACAGCAATGTGCCCGGCACTGACTAATATCCCCCTAGAAACTTTCACAGGAGCTGATATCTCTAATCGGGTGCATCTTGTCGGCGAGTGCATCCGTAAGGCCAACTTTAATCACGACTCCCGTGCGATTGTGTTTGTTAGGCGTCGTAAAACCGCTATTTTGCTGGCAAAAGCGATGGAAGCGCTGGATGTGCTACGCGAGCTCAACCCCACTCGTTTTGTTGGACACAATTCGTATGAAGGCATGTCATGGGAAGAGGAACAGCGACCGACGTTGGACCGCTTTCGACAGGGACGTATTCGTCTGTTAGTGGCAACCAATGTGCTTGAGGAAGGTCTAGATGTGCCTGAATGCTCTCTAGTTATCCAATTCGACGGAGTTATTGGGGTCACGAGTCTCATTCAAAGTCGGGGTCGAGCACGCCACCGTGACAGCACCTTCGTCATTTTCTGCTCTGCAGTTGGAAAAGAACGCATGGAACGACTTGTGATAAATGAGCAAAGGCTAGTTTCAATGGCAAAAGCGAATGCTTCGAGTTTGGGGTCTAAAACCATTGTGGCTAAGTTGATGGACGGATATACCGACGTGGTTGGTGATTTTTCAGCCGGTGCAAATGATGAAGTATCTACGTTGTCAAAACGGGCAGCATTTGACCCAATGGCTGATAAAGTTTATAACATTGTGCTAGGCGGTATTTTTATTGGTGCAGACAAACTGCTGCAAAAAGTGATCCTGGAAAGGGTGAGTGAATTTGCTTCAGTTAGAATAGCAGATGAGCGCATTGGTTTGTGCACGCTGGCGGCGCCTCCAGACAAGGATATTTATTTGTCGTATAATATGCTGAGTTCTGGTATAGATTTTTTTGTTGGGCAGCAATCCTTTTGGATGCGTTTTGAAAGTGATGATATGGAGAGTGCTGCAAGCGGAAAGTATGCCGAAAATATTGCCGGTGTCGGACTCTGCCGTGGATTACTGACTCCTGGTGGCGCGTTTATGGAGCTCGAGAGTTTTGGTGATGCGGGTAATTTAGAGATGGCAGCAGATGCTTTAATTGTAGGTTTTGGCTACCGGTATCGTCGCGTGGAGTTTGATTTACGAGCACTTGTCGAGCCGCTGGTCTGGTTTGATTTGACCTCTATATCTACTCGCGCTCCGTCTATATATCTTGCTCTCCGTCTACCTCCGTCATTTTATATAGACGACACGCGCGAATGCAAGCGGTGCCAGTCGCATGCTCTCGTGTACCGCATTATGCTGTCTCACTCCGACAATTTAAATGATCATCTTTGGAATCTCCGGGTATTCTTCTCGAAAGTCGGTGCCGAGGTCCGTGAAACGAAGATTCTAGTGACAAATGAGGAAAGGGTGTCCGTTACAAGGCGGCGCTTTGATTTACCGGTGGCATATGCTTTGCAGTGCCTCCTTTCTGAATGCAGTCATTTTACAAACGGTTTTCTTTCGTCAGAATTCTTTGACGCACTCACTGACCTTGATGAAAAAGTTCAGGAAAAGGCACTTCTCTCCTTTCGCCCAAATCCCAGCCGCACCAGTATAGCAGATCAATTTTTAAAATTTCTGCAAAACGAGCATTCTGTGCTAGAGAAACTATGCATCAACTCGACCTTGCTGCCCGCTGCTATCGTTTACAAAGTAATTGTGACACCTTCAAGGATCGTATATCGTCAACCCGAAATAGCACCAAGCAATCGTGTATTTCGCCACTGGGGGTCGCATAATTTCATGTACGTGTATTTCCGTGATGACAACATGGAACGTATGGACTACACGTCCCAGACGATTCTGGAACGCATTCGAGGCGTTTTAAAGAAGGGAATCGAAATTCCTCACGTGAGAAGTGCTTTGAAATTCCGTTTTCTTGGCTGTTCGCTAAGTCAAGTGCGCAACAGTAGTGCAATCTTCACGTCGCTTGACCACCACGAAATTAGATCGTGGATTGGAGACCTTTCTAGTTTAACGTCTCCGGCAAAATATCTGAAGCGTCTCGGCCAAGCCTTCTCCTCCACGAAAGAGACCTTTAGCGTCAACCAAATTGTACTCGACAACCCGGTGGAGGATATCAAGAACGATAAATATGTGTTCACGGACGGATGCGGCGAGATTTCTCTACTTGGAGCTAAAAATATTGTAAGGGAACTTCGTTTGTCCTATACCCCATCAGCTTTCCAGATCCGTCTTGGCGGTGCAAAGGGTGTTTTGGTGACATCTGAGCTCGACAAGGCGAACGTCACTATAGACAAAAGTATCGTGCTTCGTGAAAGCATGTCAAAATTCAAGTCTAGTCACACAATGCTTGAAATAGTCGCATGTTCCGGAAAATCGGAAGCATACCTGACACGCCAGAGTGTCCTGATTCTAAACGACCTCGGAATAAATGAGGACGTGTTTTTAGAGATGCAAGAAGAGTTTTTAACTGATCTCAGCTTGCTGATTGCTTCCGATGATGGTGCATATTTTGAGTTGAAGGCGGTGCTGCCACCGACAATTATTTGGCATATCGACGTTCTTGTCCGTCGACTTGGGGTGAAAGTTTTGGCTGATGAGTTTCTTTCGGCATTGGCGACAACAATATACCATTACCGGTTGACGAACACAGTTATGCGTGCCAGAATTCCCATATCAAATGGGCGCACTTTGATGGGTGTGGCGGATTTTACTGGGACGTTGAAGTATGGAGAAGTATTTGTTCAGTACTCAATAACTGATGACGAAACGGGAGCTGATAGCTATGTAGCCCTTGATGGTGTTGATGTTGCTGTCCATCGAAGCCCTTGCCATCACCCTGGAGATATTCGAGTTCTCCGTTGCAGAACAGACGTGCCCCGGCAACTACGCCAGCTGAAGGACTGCATCGTGTTTCCGTGTCAAGGACCACGACCGCATCCTGACGAATGCACAGGTGGGGATTTGGATGGTGACACTTTTGTGGTAATTTGGGACAAGCGGTTGATCCCATCTAGGGCAAAAATCCAAGAACCCATGGCCTTTGATGAAGAATCTGGAGGAGACATAAGTCCTCGGGGTGGTGCGTACCATCAGTCAACTGATGATGACGGGTTAGTGGACTTCTACGTCCACTCGATCCAAGATGATATTCTAGGAGTTGCTTCGAACGCCCATCTCGCGCTGTGTGATTCGGTCGATGAAGGAAGCCTTGACGAGGACGCAAAGATTTTAGCACGTATTTGTTCAAAGCAAGTCGATAGTCTTCGTGCTGAAAAAGATTTGGAAATTGTGCGTAGCCTTGCACCAAAAAGCTATCCTGATTTTATGCAAAACAAGGAGAAGCCTTCGTACCCGTCGAAGAAAATATTGGGCAAGCTGTATCGCCGTTGCAAAGCTATCTTCGACACAACAACGACGAAGAATCCAAGCCAAATGCCAATTCGTGATGACCAGTTCCTCACGACAGGCTATACCGACTATGTTGGTCAGGCTAAACTACTCTATCGCCAGTACAAGTTGCGTCTTCAAGCTTTGTTGCTTATGTCGGGAGCGGAGTCGGAGGCTGAGCTTGCCACTGGTATGATTGTGGAGCCACAGAGCGAGTACAAGGCCGACTATTTTCGCTTTGGAGAACAGTGCAAGGACGCATTTTACGCCCTGCAGACTTCATTCCGAACCCAGTTTGACAAGGATATCTCCACCTTTGAACGAGGAGAAGAACTTAAATTTGCTGCTGCGTGCTACTTTGTTGCACATGACGACTCTGACGCATCGACGCGCAGTCTGAGTTTCCCGTGGGTGGTGATCGATCTGCTCATAACCATAAAAACGGGCAACATTGACAACACACACTACATGGTGTGGACTCCAGTTCGTTTATCCGTGTACTCTGAAACGATCCCAAAGCTGCAATTATGTATGCTAGCTGAAGTTGCAACGAACACGGAAGAGTTACTAGCGGATTTGTTTGATCGATTAGTCGCAGTCAGTTCTCTACGTTCTGTGATGCCTGGAAACCTGAAAAGAAAGGAGCTTGACCTCATTCTATTCGGCTCATCTGGACTGCTAACATTCGAAAAGCAGTCCGATCTGGATGTGATGGTTTGCTGTTCGTCTTCGCGCGGCTCGTTAAAAGCTATTGCAAAGGCGTTGGAGGGCTCACATGACAATATCGTTTTAAAAGACGATATTCGTGTTCCTCTTTTATCCTTCTCGTTTCAGCAATGGTCTGTCGAGATGTGCAAGCTTTCGAATGGACCTGTGAAAACTCGCCTCTTTCGCACATACATGGAAAAGTATAACTTTTTCTGGCCATGTGTGTACTTCCTGGTGCGCTGGGGGAAATGCGTAGGGCTTATTCGACGACGTTCAGGTGGTGGTTTGAATATGTTTTCGCCCACCGGATTCATTTGGTTGTTTTTGCGGTTTTGTACCGAACAAAATTTTGTGAAACCAATTAGTGTTGGGCCAATCACGGTACATGCGATCCTGAAGGATAATGACATTGATTCGGAGATTTCGTTTTGGACTGAACTGCTTACTGGCTTGGTTTCGGGAAAGGACGACGTTTCTTCACTTTCAGCGGCTGATGTTCTCCTTGCATTTTTTGCCTATTATGCCAAACTATCCACTCCTTTTTGTGATTACGGGTTTACAGACCCACTTGATGAAGAGAATGACACGCAGTTAGAATCCGAAGCAGTCACCTTGTTTCGGTCTGAGTGTCATATCGCACTCCACCAGTTAGTGATCGCACAGGGCGACATCAAGTATCTACTGACGCATCGTAAGGAACAAACGAGCAGAATCACGCTCAGTCATGCGCTCAGCACACGAGTTCACGAGGCCAAGGATTTTTTTTCGCGGAAAATTTTGTTCGAAACAAAGGCAGACAGCTCTACGCGCCTCACGTTCCAGTTTCACCCAAACATTTTACGTTCTGATTTGTATGTGGCTGAGATCGTTGGACCGGGCGACGCAGTGCTACGTATCGAAGAACATATACGTATGGTCGAGCAAGAGCTTGGGGCGCGAATGCCTTACCGTTCGAATCGGAACTTCCACCACGAAGGTTCAAGCTTGGTGCTATTTGAGGGAGCCGAGTCCCAGCAAGAGAAAATTGGCTTTCAGGATTATTTTGGCGAGCGCCATAATGAGCACAAAAACATCCTTTTGCACCAAGCGCACCTAATTTGTTTTATGAATGGGCGTCAGTGGTACGAGCACGCAGGGGCAATATTTTGCGCAAAATTCATTCAGCAGATGATTAAGTTGTCGCGATATGAACACTTAAACCCAGGAGTCATCAAGGCTAAGGCTTTCGTTCGTTTCGGACATCACTACTTGATTAATCTGCCGCGTTCGTTCGACGATGAAACAATTATGCTGGCTAGTATCAAAAAGTTGGAAGATGAGTTCGAGCGAGGCCGAACTGCGCGTGAACTGTACGAGTCCGTCCTCATTGCGAAGCAACAGCAACGGGCACAGGCTGAGGCCGAGGCCTCGAATCAGGATGACATTCAACCGGAAAATGACATGCAAGATGAGGCGGATGTCTGGGGAAGTTGTTCCAACGACGAACAGGACGGGTGGGGAGGCGAGAATACCGATCTGGGAGAGGAAATGATGGACTACGATGGCGGTGGTGGAGGGGGAGGAGGAGGAGGTGGAGGAGGTGCGAGAAAGCAGCGGCGACCAAAGATGAATTTGCAAAGAGCTGATACTGCTGCCCGCGGTGACAAAGGCGTCACCCATTCTTTCTACTCGATGATCGACCAACAGCATACTTCTTGGACAAAAGAGTACGCGGAGAAACGTCTTGGTATGGAATTGATAAGGGAGTCCAGCTCATATCAAGTGTCAATCGTACATCAGTCGTTCGAGTACAACGTCAGGCTGACGGACGATTTGCAACTAGTCAAGATAACGACGCGTCCGTCACGATGGTTTAGCGCGACTCTAAAGATGCGGCAAGAAATGGACGATGACAGCCACAAGATGGACTCAACGCCGGATATTCGCTTTTACGTGTCAACTACGGAGAACTTGCCCAAGACCGACAGCTTGTACGTCAAATTGGCGACTTGCTGCAAGAACGCGGCGGATGGCCGCGGCGTCATTGAATTTTGCGACGAAACTCGCGATAAAGTGCGTATTAGTCGTCACTTAGTGGACGCTGGTGAGTCGCCCGCATGCATCGGGACGGTGCGGCACGTGCGCGGTGTGACGTACTTCAATTCAACGACTGAAACGCAGCTGTCATTGATGCATGTCCGCGAGTTTGGTATTCCTGACAGAAACCCCCAGGACGGCTTTATGAGCGTTCGTGATAAGGTTGAGGCTGAGTTCCGGCTACCCCCTTTAACGCCAGAGCGCCGGGTGACTCCTGTCTTTGCACGCGACTTCTTGGCCAAAGGGATGGAGTTTGTCGACTATTTGCGCACTCAAGCCGACTTGGAGAAACCTTAGTGTGGTGATTGTATGGCTTTTGTAGTCTGAGTATAGCACTCAGTGCTGGACGTCGCTGCATCCTTGACTTTGTTTCTTGTCTCGTTGCATGCACCATTCCAACAACCCCTCTTCGTACTAACGATAATATGTGTCATCTCTCTTGACGAAGCGAGCATTTACATCAGATCCATCAGTTTGAGCAGGCGATGCAGCATCGCCCACTAAAGGTCGCAACTTGACTGCACGATATTTCTGCTTCTTCTACACCTGAGAAATTGGAGGGATATGTCATTTGCCACTGCCATCTAGAAGATAGAATGGGTGACGCCTTTGTCACCGCGGGCAGCAGTATCAGCTCTTTGCAAATTCATCTTTGGTCGCCGCTGCTTTCTCGCACCTCCTCCACCTCCTCCTCCTCCTCCCCCTCCACCACGCCATCGTAGTCCATCATTTCCTCTCCCAGATCGGTATTCTCGCCTCCCCACCCGTCCTGTTCGTCGTTGGAACAACTTCCCCAGACATCCGCCTCATCTTGCATGTCATTTTCCGGTTGAATGTCATCTTGATTCGAGGCCTCGGCCTCAGCCTGTGCCCGTTGCTGTTGCTTCGCAATGAGGACGGACTCGTACAATTCACGCGCAGATCGTCCTCGCTTGGTTTCTTGTCTCGTTGCATGCACCATTCTAACAGACCCTCTTTGTAACGGGGCGAGTCCGTCACATAATTTTGACACTTATATGAAGTGTCAATCAAAATATTATTATAACTAATAATATTTTGACAATATTACCTTTTCTTATAATATTGTCCCTAGATCTCCTTGAAGTTGGAGATGCCCTCTCATTGGTTGATATGGGCCATCATATCAACCAACGCGCTGACCAATGACCGATGGACGCGCGCAATGAGTGGAGGGCAAGTTGTCAACATACATAGTTGTAGTTTAATATAGTTAACATAGGTTATAACAGATTAGTTTTATTAAGATAGTTAACTATATTAAATACAGTTTTCTTTTCCCTCTCAACTAAGCGTTTGTTTAGTTGATAAGCTTCCTCTGCTCACGTGTACGTGAGGTTTTGAGGCACCTGCTTTCACTGTAATCAGTGAAAGTAGACTATACTGTAATCAGTATAGTCGGAGGGTGCCCCATTACACCTGGTAGCCCTTCGTGGTCCGTTCAGCGACCACCGCACCATCCGCTATGGAATCAGCGGGTGATGAACGTCATCACGCAACGCGTGATGATTTCCGCCATTTGAGTGACCTCGAATGGAATGTGGTTCAGCGTATGGCTGAAACCATCGGCAACCCTGCCGTTGGTGCCATGTTGCTCTCTCTTACCGGAGACGACCAACATGCAACCATCGCCAAGTTCATACAACATGAGCTTGACGAAGTTGTAAAGAAACTCACCTTGCTACAGGAGCAAGGTTCTCAACAGGTTGACCTGTTGAGAGAACAAGGCTCTCAACAAGCTGACTTGTTGATGCAGCAGGGTGCTCAACAGTCTGAACTGTTGAGACAACAGCAGGCTAGTGCTGTTGCTGTCGGGTCGACGTATACGTCGACCCGAGTTCTTGAAGATTGATGTCTCCAAGTATAAGGCAGTCGAAAGCGACTCCTTGTTAAGATGGTTCGTCGGACTCGACGATGCCATTGAGGCTCGTCGCATCGATGACGATGCGATGAAGGTCAAGTTCGCCATGTCGAACTTGGCAGGACGTGCCAAAGCTTGGGCCTTAGGGCTCAAACTGCACGACCCATACTTTTCCCAACGTATGACGTCTTCAAGGCGCGGCTCAAACACACGTTTGAACCGCCTTGCGCCGAATTCAGGGCTCGGGCTGAGCTCCTGGATTTGAAACAGGGTAAGCGTGATATACACGCTTACGCCCAACACGTACGATACCTCGTTAGCTGTATCGTACTGAACCCAATAGATGAACACACGCAGGTTACTGTGTTCATCAAGGGTCTGATAGATGGTCCTGTTAAGACCCACCTGTTCCGCTTGGACCTAGAATCGCTGGATCAAGCGATCGCTGCAGCGGAACAGGAGGACTTTAGCCTACAACAGGCTCACGTCCACTCGGGATCCTATCGTCCACCGAGACGACAGGAGGGCGGAGGTCCAGAACCAATGTACCTCTCCTATGTAGAGAGCGAGCGACCTCGCTCTCCAGGGTACAAGCGATTGCAAAAGTGCAATCGCTGTCAGAAGTTGGGCCACTACACTTATGAGTGTAGTGCCCCACGCCCAGTGTCTCGTAACACTGGGAGTGACAATAGACCATCTGCCAAGAAGGGCCAGAGATGTGGGTCCCACGTTGCTGCAAAATCGCAACAACGTGGTGGACCATCAAAAAACGGTCGGGGTCAGTAGGGGCGGAGCGCCCTACTGATCCAGCAACGTCAAGAGAGTTCGCGGGACTCTTGACGAAGGTTGCTCCCAACACACAGTCACTGTGTGTTGCCGCTCCCAGTGATATGGTATCCCTCATCACCTTGAAGATCGAAGTGACAAAGAACATGTCACTTCGCGCCCTAGTTGATTGTGGGGCTTCGAACAACTTTGTTCGACGCCAATCGCTAGATGATCGTAGGCTCAAATATGTTGAGCGCGAGACCCCTCCAACGAGGATGACGGTGCGCCTTGCAACTGGCACATCCGTAACAGTAAAGAAATGTGTAGTGGGAGTTCACTACACGCTTGAAGGCAAAAAGTACGATGATGATTTCATCGTACTTGATCTGGATGACAAATTTGATGTCATCCTAGGATTACCATGGCTCAGAAGGTACGAGCCATGTGTCAGCTGGCAGCATCGAACCGTGAAGATGCCTGCCGCTTGTTCATCAGATGGCCATCTGATGAACGTCTTGGAGCGTTCACAATCGTTTGAGTGTACTAAGAGTGAGTGCGATGGCCTCACTTGTGGTTCGGTCGCTGGCACGACTGCACAAGAACTCAACGTGACAAACAGTCACGCTGTGGAGCAAGCTGCCGGCGGTTGTGCACAAGCACAGTCAGCGCCGAAGGTCCACCACTCGAATAAGTCGAGTGGACCGGGAAATGAATGCTCGCCTGGAAGGCAGCATTCACCGAAGAGTAAACCGGTTGCCCAGAAGCGGCAACACAGTAATCCTAGATCAACTGGAGAGTTGATCGTAGAGGATCTCGCTGTGGTTGCGCCACCAAAGCTAGAGGAAGTCGATGGAATAATTCCATCGAAACTGCGGGAATAAGTCCCCAGGAAACAATCACTGAGGGAATAAATCCCCAGTGCCCTGAGGGAATAAGTCCCAGGAAGTAACCGAGACGTTGAACGTCTTGGTTAATGACGGATCAAACGTAGGCGCTTATACGCTTGATCTGATCGCGCCTCCGAAGTTAACTTCAAAGATAACTCAGTTGCCTACGCTAGAACCTAAAAGGTTTTTGCGTGATCTGCGTAGTGGCAAAGTCAAGCAGATCTGTGTGCTCGTCGCAGAGGACGAGTACATGACTGACATTCGGTCAGCAACAGTTTTTGCCGAGAACGAACGGGTTCTCAGCAGCTCATCAATGGACGAGAGTGTCCTTGATGAAAAGACTCGGATTGAGCGATATACATCGCAATCCTGGGAGTCGCTGAAGTCAAATTCGTTGTACAATGATTTGGTCGAATTCAAGGATTTATTCCTTGAATCCGTTCCGTGCTAGTTGCCTAAGGATAAAGGTACTCGACACGAGATCGACCTTGTTCCTGGCACAAAATATTGTGTCATGAAGCAGTGTCCACTGCCTCGGGAACAGGTCGAGGCTATCGACAAGTTCTTTGCCGATCGCCTAGCAGCGGGCCATGTGAGGGAGTCAACTTCACCTCACAGCTCTCCGACCTTCTGTGTGCGCAAGGCCACAGGAGGGTGGCGGATAGTGCACGCGTTCAATAAGTTAAACAATGCAACGATATCGATGCAAACGCCGATACCTAGAAAGGACGTAATCATAGATGGTATGTCTAAGAGTACCATATTTTCGTCCATGGATCTGATGGAAGGTTTCTATCAGATCCTAATGCGTGAACGGGACATCTTGTACACAGAACCCATTAGGTGAGGCCACCAAAATTTCTTAGACACTTGTAAAAATGTCTTTTTACGGCCAGATGCCACTAAAGGGCGCATCATGGAACTCGTGAAGAATTCATCAGCTTTAGATCTGTGTCATGGGGGACATAGATACTTAAGGTATCACAAACTGATAGATGATGCCATAAAGGCCATCACTGTACTTAGCTTAGCTTTCAGGTGCGACGAACGGGTAACCTTTCGTCCACCAAAGTGATCGAACAGCAGGCGACAATGTTCGTCCTGACTGTAGCACTCCTTTTATATCGGATTCCAAAGAACTCTTCACATGGTAGACCGTCATAAATGTTAGTGTTGACAACAAAACTTGTTTCCTTAGCACTAGACATACTTCTTGATGTCTTGCCTCGATGTCTGGTCTGTGCGGTAACGCCTCAGCCAAGACATTCGTCTTACCCGGCTTGTATTCAACTGTAAAAACGATTTCGAAGCAGAATGTAAGCCACCTCGCTATTCTAGGCGAGAGGTGCGGTGATCTCAATAGTGGTCCGTATTGATGTGTTACCCGTCTATAACCACAAATGGTTTGGATGCCCAAGAGGTGCACTTGAAAAGATCATACTTAATCGAGAGTTGCTCCATATAATGCAGACATGTAATTCTGCGATGCAGCTATCAAGAACTGGTACCAGTCGGAGATGACAATTTCAACTTTGTCGTCTTTCTTATGCATAATACCGCTGCCGATTGCAAAATTGATTGCAACACATCCGACGCTAAAGGGCTTATCCGCGTCTGGCAATGCCAAGATTGGTGCCTTTACAAGAAATTGCTTCATTGACGTGAAAGCATCATTTTAAGTCTCAGACCAAATCCATTCTGCACCCCTTATTAAAAGTTTAGACAATGGCATAGTACTTTCTGCATAATTTTTGCTGTACTTATGCAAGTAAGTAGCGAGCCTAAGGAGTTGGTGCAGGTCCTTCACGTGTCGTGGGACTGGCCACTTCTTGATAGCCTTAACCTTTTCTAGGTCTGCTCATACACCGTGTGTACCCACTATGCAGCCGATTACAGATATTTCAGGTAACCTATGACTAGAAAATTACACATGAGTCTGAGTAGGGTAATGGCGTTTACCCACGACTAAGACTCGTTCAAATTTCATAACCTACGACTTCGACTCATACCCGCGGGTACTTATCCATGTTTGCCCGCGCGATTAACATATAGATTTAAGGAGTAGCAGATAATGCTGATTTTCTTAATACCCAGTAAAAGTGCCCAGCACAGAACTGTTTGCATCATGTGACGGGATTAAACTAACTAACAATGACCATTAAGTTATGGACAAATTTTGGCTGTCTTTAATCAAAAATATGTGGGTCAGATATAAAGTGATGGGTGACACAATTAACATCTTTTTCTAGTGTGTTGATTAAGGAAGAAAAGAGGTGAAGGGTTGTGAAGTCAGATGTATCTGATGTATTTTCGGAAAATTTGGTACATGCACCCATGAGTAAGTTGTTGGGTACCGCCAATTACCCATACCGAACACATGAGTCTGGGTATGGGTAATTACTTACCCCCTGAGTTTTAGTCTGTGTA